CAAAGTCAATTTGAGGTGCTGTCGCTCCGGTTACATTGTTCATAATCGATGTTATTTAGATCAAGTCTGCCGGACTGATCAGTGACACTTCTACAGCGGAGAGTCTCAGTACCCTCTCGTACCGGCAGGCGGTCGGCGATTTGGCTCTTTCCTACCGCCATGCCAACGGGCTTTGCTCCTCACAGCTCTCCTCGATCATGACGTTGCGCGTTGACCACGCCTAACAGACATGCCAGGCTTCTGCCTCCTACACTAACGTTGTCGAACTTAGTCCTTTTTCCAGTTATGCTGACCATATCCTTAACCGGCTGCATGAGTATAAAAGCAGGATATCTTCAACGCGCAAGGCTCTCGCGGCCATCATCCAATGTTATTTGGTTGGTTTTTGGGTAGTTAGGCCGTCGTAAAATATTTTTATTCGACGTTTCGCCAACACGAGTGGTTTTCATCTTCATAAGGTTTTTATTACAGTACTGTCCACGAGCCCCGAACTGTGAACACCTTCTGAAGATGTCAACCACTCGTGTTGGCGAAACGTCAAATACAAATATTTTACGACGGCCTAACTATCCAAAAACCAACCAAATAACATTAGGATATCTTCAAGTCTATAGGAGTTGCGCTGCTTCTGCACGCATTATCTGTCTCCACAACGGCTTCACTATCAAAAAGCGGCATCAAAAGCAATGTCCTTAAGGACTAAAACTTACATTTCTTTTAGTTTAAAAATCTCTTAGTCCAAGGATGCAAGATCTTTTCGAAGACCTTCGATGTTGTGTTCTGTGGCACACCTGCGATGTTCATATCTATTTTGTACTTCTGTTTGTCACTTTTTGTGTCTGGAATACCGCCATTATTTCAAAAGAATTAGCAGCTCTCTGGCTATGCGATAGCTAGCGACAGACGCAACGCGACTGCACGATCAGACGCGCAATGTGGATGCCATCGAGAACCGACCTCTCGAATTCTTGAACAGCGGAATTTGTATCTCTACGTTGAACATTTTGTGAAGTATGCAAATGCTCAGCATAGAGATAATAAAAAATCTGATACAATTTGCACAATACAAGATGCTGTAGATCTCAATACATGGGACAAATAGGTCCGTCAGTCCAAAGTCTTTCCACGTGTAATTACCGAAATTCAAGGTCACCCGAAGGTGGAATTAAAGGTAAAATCGACATTTTCAAAGGAAACTCCTCATTTGTATTTACATACCTACTTGTTGCATTGTTTTTCACAGGTATTCAATCTCAAACATTGTCCGCGCAGTGAAATTGTTTATGGTGATTCGAGAGAAGCCTGTGCACAATAGCTACAGATTGTGGAATAACTGCATTTGATGATAAGAACTGACACCTTTTTGGATGCAGATACAGAAAATAGATGTGTACTTTATTCAATGAATGGCACAAAAAACCAATATGTGAGTCCCCTATTTCCAAAAGCGGCTAAATCCAAAATTGAAGGTATTAAGAAAAAGGCGAAAAACTGTAATTCTTACTATATGTAAGTTTGTGAGTCAGTAATACCGTAATATTAATGTATGTAGCACAATAAAGGATTTTTGAAAAATAAAACATATTTTTTGTTTTATATGTCCGTATGGGAGGGGGGGTAGGGATGGATCTACCCGAGTTTGAATATGAACTCAGGATTCACCCGGTATTGAAACGAAGTTTGTGTGAATTCTTTCCTGATGTATTAACATTAGATAACAAAAAGGAATAAAAAAGAAAATCATGCATTCTTTCTTGTAAACTGTTTTGCGTACCTCAACTTGAAACTCAACTTGAGAAGTAGAAAGTCCTTTTTGTTAAAAACGAAAATAAAAATCATACAACATCAGCTTCAAAGCTACACTCGGTATTAGCAAAGCACACACTATTATCATCAGCATTTTCTTCTGCTTGTGTTAAACCGTTGATTATCCATAAGTCTTATAGTATTCCAATTCGAATTCTTCATTTCTTTGCTTCCACGCCGTTCCAAAATTTTTTGTCATTTTGTCAAAAGTTCATCAACATTCTTTAGTTTTTCGGGATTTATTTTCAAGTTATTTATACAAACGTTTTCTGGGGACATGAGCGATATCCTCTACCCCCTTTTGCAGATGCCTTTAGCGTTATTCACATCAGACTGGTAATTTGGTTCACCCCTTACCAGGACTTGCAGATTTGGAAATGGAGTGAGGCTGGTGACTTGATGACATTTGCGGCCTCCAATTTTGAATATGCCAGTCCTGTCCCAATTTTTTTAAAGTACCATGGTTTTCGAAAATATTATAATACGTTCCAGGCTTGACTATTGTGTCAGGTTTTTTTATCTTTTTTTCTATCAAGGCGAAAACTCGATCTGGAGGTAAAAAAGAATGGCCAGTGACCGGAAATATCAATTGCAGTTTTTCGATATGGCTCGGAGCTTCTAACATCCATTTAACGCACATAGACAGAACAATACTATTTTTGTTCTGCCCAGTGCAGCCATCTGATACCAGTCTAATCTCTTTCACATTCTCAGGAATCGTGATTTTGTTTAAAGTGTCATAAACAGTAAAGTTGTAAAGATACAGTTGCCTTTTGTAATATGTTATTTGATCAGGAATTTTCGGTAATACTAAGTTTTTTTGGCAGTCAAATGACAGAATCAATAGATCATCACTTTGACCTCTGAGTTTATCATAAAATGCTTTTGCCCTCAGTTTATGTATGCGTGGTTTCACTATTAAATCGTTTTTTCCCTGCAAATCTTTCTCTCTCTTGATCATTTCTCTGTATTCAAGGCATTGCGAGCAGACATCTGCTTGTGGCGCATTGAATCCTATATTGAAATTAGCGTTAAAAATCTTTCTGAAGTAACTAGCTTTACAACGTGTCGTCAGAGTCGCAGAGAGATTATGCATCTGTATTGATAAATCGCTCGACAAATACTGCCTTTCCGACTTTCCTCTATAGTAGTGCTTCTCTAAAATACTGAATTGTTTTATAAAGTTTATTATGCTGTTCCGGATTTCTTTGGTTTTGTGAGATCGATGATCGCCACCTCTATTTTCCTTCGGCATCTGACTTTGATGATAAAACCTCTTTATTACTCCTTCAACACGATGTTTACTCAAATTCAGGATATTTAAAGGAGTTTCTGCATACTGGAACCACTTCATTGCCTTTCCGTATAAAATACTTGGCAGCAAGGGTGCGAGGTCTGTCTGAGTTAAGATTCCTTTTAATTCTAATCGGCATGTAGAAACATATTTCAGCAAAAAATTATCTTGGGCAATGTTTTTTGGTACTGAATAAAATGATATATGGAATTTTCGTATATCCTCCTCGTTTAATGTTGAGCATAGATACTGGATCTTTCTTTGCTGAATACCTACAAAAGATTATCGTGAGAAGTTTGACTCTGAGAAAATATGCCGCAATATTACCTCATCTCCTTGGCCTTATTCTTACTCCATTTGTCTGGATCCAATTTCCTTTTCCTACACTTATCAGGCGTCTTTTCTACTATTGTATCCATATCTCAGCTAACAATTTGTTGCCCAAATACTAGGACCAAGTCGTGGTAACGCAAAAGTTGCCGGTTTATAAATTTGAGGTTATGTATGTTGTAAACACACCAATCTATCGTTTTGTTCTTAAACAAGAGCATAATAGTTTGTGTAGCAGTGGATGTAGCCGGTTTTGGTAAAACCAAGGATATAGCCACTTTTGTAATAAAACACGCATCAGCTTTAGCCGGATTTGAAAATAAAACGGAAATAGTGTGCTTGCTGCTTTATATGGATTTTGCCGCATTTTGGAAACGAGTATGTATTACAGTATATTACTAGAACCTTTGACTATGAGATGGCAGCACCCACACCATTTTTCGTAAATATGGATTTAGCCGCTTTTGGAAATAGGGGACTCATGTATGTATAATTGAACACATAATTGACCATCATTATTTCAGGACACTCAAAATATCAGAGGCATGTAAGATTACTAACTACGAGGCATTACAAATAAACAGGAAAATGAAGCTCCAAAATCCTTAATTGATCAATCAGTAAAGGCGGGTTTACACGCTACGTCTTATTGCATGTTTGTGGGACAAGACAATTCCTATCCAATAAAACGTGGCGTGTAAACAGCAAAACATACGTCTTGTCGAATCGAAATGAAATCCAAGGTCAGATTGAAAAGCTGATGGGAGAAGCATCAGTTTCGAGAACTGATGATAGGACGACAAAACGAAACGTGAAGACTCATGTTCAGGCAAGACGTCCGATCTTGGCTCAGTTCACGAGTAGCTCCACTCTTCTTTTTGACCCAAAAAACCTAATAGACTTGCTGCAATGCACCCACGATTTTCTCGGGGAATTCATTGAAATGTATAAAAGTTTTCCGTGTTTGTGGCAAGTGAAAAATAAAGACTATAGTGACCGTAATAAAAAAAAAACGTCGCGTATGAGTATCTTATAAAAAAATACAAAGAGAGATATGTTACAAAAAAAATAATCTCGTTGAGATCGGTTTACAAAGAAAAGTTAAAAAAAGTGAGAGCATCAGAAATCTCTGTTACTAACTCTACCAATTAACAATAAGCATTCCATTCGCAAATAATTGCGCCAGTCATGAAGTTCGCTCCTCAGTTACTTCAATATAACGAGACGTGGGAATACTGGATTCTTTTCAGAAGCCACTCCCTTGACCATCTTGTCTTTTCCCTATTCATCCCTTTTCCTCTCAGTCGTTGTATCCTCATAGTTGAAAAAATGAAATGAAGCAGCCGCGTTCCACTAAACAAACTTCACACATCTCAAGACTATATAGATTGGAACTTTAGTAGAAAGCGAAAGGGGACACACGTAGTGTGTATGCACCGGACAAAACGTACATTTTGTCGTAGTTGTGTATGCCAGAGAAAACGTAATCCAGACGTAGCGTGTAAACCCGCCTTAAGTTGTATCTAGGATTATACAGCTTTCACTTCAGCCCTTCCTGCTTAACTCAGAACCATGATCCGCCACTGGTCTTGTTTGGAATTGCTCATTTTGTTTGTACCACCATCTGATGCTTGTCAATTTAAGCTTGGCATACTTTTGCTTACCTGCCGACCTCTATTAGTGAAGAATTCTGTAAAGCTACCGACACAGCTACCGATCAATGTGTAAGTTGCCTTAATTACTATAGATGTCGCGTTAATATTTGCCTTTGCCATCTGTTGGGCGATGATGTAATTAACGCTTATATCTTAGAATTTCTACTCTCTCTTAAGATAGTATTTCATCGGGCACATTACAGATGCCGCGCATAATACTATGACTAAATAGGATGTCAACTGTCAAAAATCACCAACCTGTCAAGATTCTGCAACGGGGCTAGTCGCATTGCGGATTGTTTGAAAAAATCTTCAATCAGAAACTTAAATGTCGAGGTTGTGAAGAGAGGCTGCGCGATGCCCCATCGAACTAAGATAGACGACGACTCCATACCAAAGCATCCTCCACATTACCTGCATGAATTGCCCCAGGAAGATGAAGAACGCCTTGAGAAACTATTCTCCCTTCTGGACAAGAACGGCAACGGCAGGATCGACATACACGACCTGTCTGCAGCCCTTAGGGAGCACGGGGTACACCATGGATATGCTGAGGTAGGTCACCATCCCGTCAGCCTTGTTGTTCTTGGTTATGTCTTGGTGCCTTCCGGCATACGGTGATTCATGTAAGCGAGCCATACACTATCAGATCTTCACAAAAACTAAGAAGTGTACCATAATTATTGTAGAAAGTGAGTTTATCACAGATAAAATGTACCTAACACAAGGGGTTACATACACCTAATATCCAAAAATTCAATTTAAAACAGTCCTATTTCACATAAAATACATTTTGAATGTTTGTGAAGCAATATGCTGTGAGGCCCATATAATGGATAGAATTATTTATTAGAGAAAGCTGCTTCTGCTGCATTATACATTTCCAAAATTGGCAGCATGTTAATTATGAAGAAGAATATAAAAATCAAATAATTTTTTTTATTTCTCAAGTTTTCATTATTTACAAAAGTAGAAATATCACTTGATATGTCAGTCATCAAATGAAATAAAATCCAACTCATCATTCGATAAATTGCTTTGTTCTTTTTATGCTACAGGTGGTTACCAGTATTCAAATACATGCCACTTTTGCATTTTGAAAGTCCAGAATATCTATCCTGATTTTTACTTGCAGATAATGTTTATTGTGTACAAAATATCGCAATTTGTCAGTCAAATTGACAGAATTTTAATCCTAGGAGGTCTCATGTAAGCTGTATTAAAAAACTGAAGTCAAGAAGATTGGCTATACTTCCCACCATCGACTCTTCCCACACTCCTTGAGGGGGGGAACGGAAGGGAAAATCTTCTGCTGGGTTCCCTTACACTGGCGTGGCTCGTTTGCATGCAAATGACAAATGTCATCATGTCATGTCATCAGTTATGGCTTCTGAGTCAAGTGAAAGAAATAAAGTAAAATAAGTTGATTAATATTACTTATATATATATCCCTTAATTTCTTTGGGTAGAAGGCAAAGTATTGCAAAAGTACACTCTTATAACTTAAACTCTCAAGCTTTCGAAGATCTATGACTTCATCTTCTGGAGTAAGTCGGCGAGTTTGTTGCTAAAATTGTTTTTAAATCAACAGTGAAGGGAACACATAGTCGACAATAAAAAACTGGACTGATGAGGTTCGATTAGGACGGAATTATTTTATTATGAAATGGCGAATCATTTTGAAAGGTTTTTTTAAAAATAGCATTGATTGACTTTGGAAGAAACTTTGAGATTTTAAAACTATCAACTATTGCAAACTTCCCAGAGATTTCATCTGTTTTTCCACTGATAACCTCCACATTATCCAACACGTGCCGTCCTAATCGAACCTCATCATTCCAGTTTTTTATTCGTCGACTATGTGTTCCCTTCACTGTTGTTTTAAAAACAATTTCAGCAACAATCTCGCCGACTTACTCCAGACCCTGGAGACATAGATCTTCGAAAGCTTGAGAGTTTAAGTTATAAGAGCAATACTTTGCCTTCTACCCAAAGAAATTAAAGGATATTTTCATAACTTTTGCAATCCTTATAGCTACAACCCCCAACCCCTCATTACAACATTGGAAAACGAAATTGTAGTGTTTTTTGTCGTCTTCGTTGTTTGCCTGTAGCTCAGCTGTCACCGGATACGTTTTCAAACCCCAGAGACGTTTTTCACGAAAATGAGTGACATTTTTTTTTAGTGATCCAGATGCCATGTGACATCCAGAAAACCATCTCATTCTCAAAATTCCTTCGTCAATTGGCGCAGAAGTAAAATATTTATTGTAATACACTGACGTGAAAACTACTGTTTCTATCTACTTGACTTCATAATCTATTCTGTGAAGAAATATTGAATCAAGTGATTAGATCTTTTTGTATGGGTTAGATTACCCAAAAAATTCTTTACATTTTGTTGTTAGATTATAATTTGATGTATATGGAACAATCATCATTTTCCGTGAATATTAAACCTAAAAGCTACACTACTGTTGATTTTGCGACTTTTATCAATTTCAGACAGTATTTAGACTTTGTACAATGACCCTCACCTTTGAACTGACATAATTATTTTTGCCTATCTAAATAGGATATTGACTTTTCTTGCCAAATTACATATATCGCTTTCTTTTCTGATTGTAAAGAATATTTATGAATTAGTTATATAATAATATTACAGGTTATTGTATTCGGCACAATGGCTGTTATTTTTCGACTTTGCCCTCGCAAGCAGCACTACTGATTTTGAGACTTTCATAAAATGATATTGTTTAGAATTTGATTGTGGCTGGAGATGCCAATTTACAACAAATAAGTGCTAGGTTGTAAACTTACTGATTCTAATATTAAACAAAAAAATGGCGTCAAGTAGGCGAATTCTGCACTTCCCACACAATGCTGTCATCAGTTCATCAAGGATTATGTTCGACAAACACATTAGGTTCTCTGAGAAAAAGTTAGCTTCCAATATAACTGACACAACAATTAGTCCATAGACATTTTCCCAGCCCTACCAATAGTACTGTCCATCTTGCAACGTCGCCCCTCGCTGCCTCGATGCTTCCACTCGGCAGCATGGCAATCACGGCTCGACACTCATCCTTCAGGTATCCGAGACGCATGTCGAAAATATTTCTCCATTATTTATTGTTTTGAGGGTAAATGTACGGGAATTATCTATGATGTATATACGAGTACTAACGTCAAAGTATTGAGATATACCCCCAACAACCGCCAACCCAAAATTTAGAACCACTACAAAGTTTGTTTTGAAAACGACAAGGAGCCTGTGAAATGCCAACAGACGAAGTTTGAGCGATTTTTTCGTTTTTTTTTCAGACCCGCCGATATTAGGATGTTTTTCTAATACTATAAACCTACAAATCCGAACGGCATGGGTATTATGCAAAAAAACGTATAAAACTTAAAAAAAAACTTATAAAATGTCATCTTGCAGGCTAGGTAGTTTTTAAGGTGCAAACAATCATTCTATGTTTGCTTACTAGGATCGTTGTGAGCGTCCATCTATGGAGGAATAGCTCAACTACACGCACTGTTGGTTGCATATTCTTTGTGAAGCCGAGTAGTTTATAGTTTTCATCTCCGAGAAGAAAGTTGGTTGAATAACAAGAGCGCATGTGGATGATTGTGTGTATTGATATCCATGAATCCATGTGTATAAAATCAGTGATATTTGCTGTGTGAGAAAATCATTACTGAATATGCTGCCAATGAAGTATATCTATTAGCTGTACCAGACGGGTTATTTATGTTTCCAAAAACTTTGATGAGAATCACGGGAAATCACTACCGCGCCCGCGTTGTGTGTAATTACTGTTAGCATGTATATGACTTGTAATTCGACAGTGTACAGTGAATATAATTATTTCTTATCTCTCTCATTTTTGAAATTCGTCAAATTTGCATATTATGTAATTTCCAGAATGGATGAGAAAAAGTGGATGCGCAAGTAATTCTAGCTTTGAATTTCAAGTAGGTGTATTTGAGACAAGTATCGAATGGAATTATCAACACATATTATTAGCACACAAATCCTCACTACCTCCAGTAATGCCATCTCTGAAGCAGATTTTTTAACCTATATAATAATTGTTTTTTGTACAAGGGGGTATTTAAAACATGGCGAATAAAATGGAAACCCTCATCAGAAAAAAGATCATAGAATTATGTTTCATGAGATAGAAACTAAATAACGGATCTACTTATTTGACAAAGTCATGTAGCGATTATTATCAGCACACGCTACATTTTAACTGTGCTAAGTCAGTTTGAAAGAAGTGTGTTTTTAATTTGCATATTACCTTTTTAAACAATACAGTGCGATCCAGTATGAAATTATTTTTTTGTAAATCTTAAGATATTTTGGAAAAAAAAGCATACACACATCCACTTTGTTGTAAAGTGTGTATAATATCGTATGTGTTTAATTCCTCACAAATACCGAATGTTTGAATCTGTTGAGGAAAAAACATAACATTTCGTTTTTCGCACAAAAATAATATTCGTTTTGCGAAATGGTTTGTGATTTAAATCTGTAAGGTGTGTATTTTGCTATAAAGTGTCTTTGTGTGTTGCTTTATAAATAAAAATAAACTGGTGGTGATGGTCGGAAAACAGGTATTATATAGAAAGTCTCAAAAACTATTTGAAGAATTCCAAGTGTCTGCATGACCTGACATTATCCTCGTATTACTAACAAATATTACATGCCTTTTGACTAGGTTTTTGGCAATAACTGTTTTGCGGATATTTTTATGTGTGACTTCGTTTTGTAGGTCTCTTGACTGGTTAAAAATTTTATTTGATGAGCATTATTCGTTCATACCAACGATTTTGATGGAATCCCAAAAAACGCGTTTTCTCATTATTTGTTCTTAAATAAACAGTTTTTCTTCAAAAATTGAGCTACTCATTTTATGCGTCCATGTTTTAATATCCCTGAACAACTTGAGAAATTTGCTAATACGATTAGACTAATGACGGAGAAACTAATCTGCAAAATACTGTGTGGGAGAAACATGCTTTATGTATTTATTCTCTTTAGTTTTTTTTATACTTCAACTACCACGAAGGCCTAATGCCTAAACACCCATTGGGTACCATGGGCCTATAGTGGGATACAGGGGAAAGGGGGAACGCCACACGGACTCTGGCGAGGGAACACGTGTGCATGAAGCATGCACACATTCTGGCCCCGCCTACGTGATCAGCCGGGTGGTACCTCCGCGTTCGACAGTCAGAGACCCTCTAACACCTACGGACAATCACAACATCCATAGCCAAGAGAAAAATTTCTCCTGGGACGGGATTCGAACTACTGCGGCCACCGCTGCTGCCTACTTAAAAGAGTAAAGTCATATGACCACTTTGATATTAAGTCAAAATAATGATGTACAACTCGTGCAAAGTAACTCGGTAAGTGAAGGTTACCGCTAATGATGACCTGATCACTGACTTCTAGGTCTAGGTAGCATCGTCCATAGAACCTCACGTACCAACTATTTTGATAAGTAGATGCAGGCAACACGTACAGCAACTGTCTGTCGGCC